GTATGATGAAACATGTTTTGTGATTATCCATATGTGTTTATACATGTTGTGAGGTATGATGAGCTATGATGGATTGTGGTGAGAAAATAGTGGAATATATGTATTCTATATTTGTGTAGGTATATATAATTATATGCATTGATTATTATGATAATATTTCTCACCCTTCTGGTGTTTTATAATGCTCTATGAGGCATTGCAGATTAGGTTGCTGGAGGTTTCTTTTTGTGAAGTATAGCTTCATTCTTTTGTTGGTCATCTCTGATATGTAGCACCGGGTAGTTAGGTTGTATAGCATTCTTTTGAGATACATGGCATATGTATCTGATGACAAATGTTTTTGTAAAACATGAATGATGTGATGAAAACAAACTGGATTATATGTATTTATATGATAACATGTTCTGAGTGATTCAATGTTTAATCTTCCGCTTTAAATTTAAATATTGAGATGTGGGCTTAAGGAATAAGTTCCTCTATTTTAAAACTACCCCACTGTTGCATGTCTTTTATAGAACAAGTGTTGAATGTTTTGATTTGTGATGATGTGGCATACCTCTTTATACCATATTTTAACTATACTCTGATGAAATTTTATTATGTGCTTAAATGATTTATCTGATTATTTGGGGGTATAGAAGAGGGTGTTACATTAAGTGGTATCAGAGTAGGTCGGCCAGTTGGCCCAAGTTGTTAACTTGTTTATTCCCTAATTATATCTGATTGTGTGTGTGACACTATCGATATTGTTTGTTCTTATGAGTTCTATTGTTGGGATTTAGAATGATGGTTGCCGGTAGGAATGATGAAGCGATTGCTAAGGCTTTGACGAGGTTGGCTGGAGCGATTGGGCAGAATCCTCAAGCCAATGTGAATGTTGGAAACAATGCTGATGATGAGTTTCGTGCTTTGGGAAGGTTTCAAAGGAATAATCCGCCGATTTTCAAGGGAACCCATGAGCTTGACAAAGCACAAGTTTGGCTGAAAGCAATTGAGAAGATCTTTCGAGTTATGAACTGTTCAGATGCACAGAGGGTGCAGTTTGGCACTCATATGCTCGAAGAGGAAGCTGAGGATTGGTGGGGTAATACTCGCCAAAGGTTCGAAGAGAACGAGATTATGGTTACTTGGGATCTCTTTAGAGAGACATTTCTTGAGAAGTATTTTCCAGAAGATGTGCGTGGTAAGAAGGAAATTGAATTCCTTGAGCTGAAGCAGGGTAATTCCACTGTAGCCTAGTATGCGGCAAGGTTTGAGGAATTGATTAAGTTTTGTCCTCATTATAACACTGCTAATGCTGAGAGATCTAAGTGTCTCAAGTAAGTGATTAAGTTTGTGAATGGATCCCTGGATTACATTCATGCTGATCTTTGGGGGCCTGTAAGGAATCCTTCACACTCAGGTGCAAGTTATTTTTTTATCCATCGTTGGTGAATATTCCAGAAAGCTATGGGTATTCATTCAGAAGATGAAGGATGAAACTTTTGATAATTTCAAAAGTTGAAAGATTCTAGTCGAAACTCAAACTGGCAGAAACGTTAAGAGGTTGAAAACCGACAATGGCCTTGAATTCTGCAATGAAGCGTTTGACAGTTACTGTGTTGAATATGAGATTGCAAGACATAAGACTGTAGCAGGTACTCCTCACCAAAATGACTTAGCTGAGAGATTCAATCGAACAATCCTTAAAAGGGTTAGATGCATGTTGGTTAGTGCAGGATTGAAGAATGTGTTTTGGGCGGAAGATGTTTCGACAACAACTTACCTGCTAAATAGATGTCCCTCGACTGCCTTGAGAATGATGACACCTGAAGAAGTTTGGTCGGGACATCCACCTAGTCTCGACAGACTGAGAGTATTTGACTGTGTGGCCTATGCTCAAATTAGGCAAGACAAGGTCGAACCCAGAGCTCTGAAATGCATGTTTATAGGATATTTTGAAGGAGTCAAAGCTTATAGGTTATGGTTCCTAGAGCCAAGTCACATGGTGTATCACCAGTCGAGATGTAGTTTTCAATGAAGCAGATATGACTTTCGAGAAAACTGATAATACTGACGAAGAGCTGGAACATGGAGAGATTTCTATTGAGGTGGAACATGTTGATGCTGAATTGCATACCCCAGATGAAGTCGAGAAAGACACAGAAGATGTTATCGAAGATGAGGAGACTAATAATGACTACCTGCTAGCAAGAGACAGGTCGAGGAAAGTTATAAAGTCACCTCAGAGACTTGGGTATGTAAATCTTATAGCTTATGGCTTAATCTCTGCAATTGAGGTTCTAGATGAAGAACCTAGAGACTATAAGGAAGTTATGAAGAGTCGAAAGAAGACTGAATGGCTGAAGGCCATGGATCATGAGATAAAATCTCTTCATGATAACAACACATGGGAACTGATCAAGAAACCTGAGCTAGGTTAGTCAACTGTAAATGGTTTTTCAAAGTTAAGGAAGAAATCGAAGGAGTGGCGTCGAAGAGATACAAGGAAAAATTGGTTGCTAGGGGGTTCGCTCAGAAAGAAGGTAATGAATTTAATGATGTGTTCTCTCCTGCTGTGAAGCACAGATCCATTCGAATGTTGCTTGCCACAGTGGCATAGTTCAATCTTGAACTGGAACAGATGGATGTGAAGACAACGTTTTTGTATGGTGACTTAGATGAAACAAACTTGATGAGGCAACCTGAAGGGTATGTCAAAAAAGGGAAGGAAAATTATGTGTGTAAGCTGAATAGATCCTTATATGGACTGAAACAATCTCCTCGACAATGGAATAAGAGATTTGACAAGTTCATGACACACATAAGTTTCATCAAAAGTCAGTTCGACCATTGTGTTTACTTTAGATTTCGACCGGGTAATTCATTTGTTATTTTGTTGCTCTATGTGGATGATATTTTAATAGCAAGCAACAATATCGAAGAGGTAATGAAGGTGAAGGCTGAACTCAATAAGGAGTTCAACATGAAGGATCTTGGAGCTGCATCCAGGATTCTTGGGATTGACATCCAAAGAGGTAGAAAGCAATCAAGATTATGCTTATCTCAAGAGGCATACCTACGGAAGATTCTAAAAAAGTATGGTATGTCGAATTCAAAGCTTGTTGTGACTCCGACAAACCCTCAATTCAAGCTGAGTATATATCAGTATCCCAACACTGATGTTGAAAGAACTTATATGAATAACATTCCATATGCTAACATAGTAGGTTCTTTAATGTATGTTATGGTCTGTACTAGACCCGACATAACATATGCAATAATTCTTGTAAACAGGTACATGGCGAATTTTGGAAAGGCTCACTGGCAAGCATTAAAGTGGATCTTAAGGTACATAAATGTGTCTCTGAATAGAGTCCTAATTTATGGTGGAGCCTTGGGTGAAGATAGTAAAGCAGCAATCGAAGTCTGTTCACATGTTGCTGATATGATCACCAAGAGGTTGCCAAGTTGCAAGTTTTTCCATTATATGCAGTTGATAAATATGCATGAAGAAAGCTAGTCCATTGGTGTTATAGAGTTTGTTTCAAGGTGGAGATTTGTGAGATGTTGGAGCGAACTCTAGTATGGTCGAAGGATAACTTCTGGTTCAACAGGAGTTAAGCATGAGGTCGAAGTCTATTCGCATGCTGCTATCGAAGATTATGCGTGTTGTAGTCGAAGTTTGTTCTAACATGCATTAGTCAATATTGCTAGGTTGTTAGCATATTGAATTGGGCCTTGCTTGTAAGCCCAAGTGTTTAAGTTAGTTTGTACCCTAAGTTAACTTGTTATGAGTAATTGTTAAAAAGCCCATTAGGTTAATTTGCTATTTTTCTTATAAATAAGATGCTAGTTTCTCAATTATAGCATAAGGAAAAATAGGAAGATAAAATCCTAATTTCTAGTGAGAGAGATTATTTTGTTATTCTTGTATACTTGTAATCTTGTTCTAAGAGAAAAGAAAGAATAACGGTTTATAATCAATCCTTGTTGTTCCTTATTGTTTTACCTTGTTTTCTTTGTTAACCTTAATCCTTGTGTGTTTCTTGATCATAAAAAAACCGTTTATACTTTGTTTAAAGGTATCCGATTCACAACAATGATGTTGCTAACTTAATATGGGAGCGTCTTTGTCGGTGGATTGACATTGAGTTATATGGGGAGCATTTATCGTTAGCCACTCTATTTTTACATTTCAAGAAATTTTATTTAATCAAGTTTAAAGTCGAGTTTTATTGTTATATGTGGTTAGTGGTATGTTGGGCATCGTGAACAACTAAAAATGTTATCATCTTTAAAAAAAAATAAAAAGATTGGAGAAGATAAATATTTTGAATACTATTAAATTATTCACTATAAAATAGTTGTTGGCCAAGTATTATGGTCAAATTGTTGGGGATCCCATGGTGTGACAAAACACTCATCGTTCTATTTAGTTGGATAATAATCTCTTCTTAATTATTTTTTTCTTTTTCTATTTTTTAATTGGTGACTTCTTATTTATTTTGTGTTCAGCAATCTTGTGCTCTAGTTTTGCTTATTAAAAACAAATAAGACACGAATATATTGTAGTTTACTATTCTCGGTGTCACTACTACTACTATTTTTTTTAATTAAAATTAAAAATAAAAACCGCTTAGCCTCTCTCACCGGTCAGCACAAACAAAACCTTCAGACTTCAGTCACTGGCTCGCTCACTTTTTCGTTAATTAATTCGTTAAATCTCACTCGTTTAAATCAGAAACTAGACAGAGAAAGAAAGATAGAAGACAAAACAAGCACGGAGGAGAGAGAAGCAAACAAAACGAAGAAGAAAGAAAGAAACAACCAAAAGCATCTTATTCTCTCACTTTCTCTCTCTAAATCCACCGTTTTCAACCTCAACTTTCTCTCTCTACACTCTAATCGGTGTACGCAATTTCTATTTCGTTCCTAAGCGCGTGCGTGATTCCAAATCTTGACTCTCCAGCATTTGAATGTGAGAAAGAGTAAGTGATTTCGGCTAGATCGGCGAGGCGATGGCGGATGTTTCCGGCGACGGAGGAGAAATGGCGACGCCGGCGCCGCTGACGGTGTCTGGATCGTTCAAGGAAGGGAAAAACTCGTTGCGGAGACGCGGCTCCGCGAGGCAACCGAGCATGGACGCCGACGAGTTCATGAATCTGTTGCACGGTTCGGATCCAGTGAAGGTGGAGCTTAATCGTCTCGAGAATGAAGTTCGAGGTGCGAAAATGCTGCTCGATCCAAAGAGTTCTAGAGCTAAATTTTGATTATTAATAGTTATCTTCGTGTTCATTGTTAGTGTTTTTGTGTGTGCAGATAAGGACAGGGAATTATCAGAAGCACAAGCCGAGATCAAAGCGTTGAGGCACTCTGAACGACTCAGAGAAAAGGCCGTGGAAGAGGTCAACTTTAATTCTTACTTGCAGTTATTCTTTTATTTCGATTTAGGATTATTATTGTTGTTGTTTATTCGTTTATTTTTTTTATTATTTACATGTTGGGAGTAAATATGACAGTATTATTTTATTTCCTAATTGGATCATATTATTAGCATTAGCATATTTGAAAGTCTTTGGCATCATGGATTAACAACTTAGTTAAGTGCTTATTATGTATAAACTATTCTATAACAAAAGATAAAACAAATTTTTTTTTTGGTATAAACTATAGCTTGTTTTAATAAGCTAAAGAGTTTATAAAAATAAGTTGAAAACAACTTATAGACAAATCATAAGGGTGTTTCCATCGCACTCCCAAACATTCTCACCATGGTTTTAAATTGCGGTTGCGGGTGTTGTGATCACGGTTATTGTGGTTGCTGCGACGCTCATTGTGTCCGTTGCGGTGTGAATTTTAATTGGGAGGTGTTTTGAAATATACGGTTAAAAAATATCTGATGTTAATCAATACATAGGAAGTAAATTGAGTTTCGAAATTGAGTTTTGATGAAAATACTTGAAAAAAAATGGGCGAAATTGTCTGATGTGATTTTTATATTGGCAATTGTGGTTTAATGCGGTTGCGGAGGCTCATCAGCAATATTGCGGCTGCAATTGCGGTTGCGGCCTGCAATTTAAAACCATGACTCTCACAAGTGCTTATACCCATAAGTAAAACTATTTAAGTCAATCAATCTTATCCTTAAGATCTTTAGTTTATAGTAAGTCGGCGACAATGTTTGAACATTGAAGATGAACGTGAAAAATGTATTGAATCCTATCATTATGTGTCTAAGTACACATGGGAATGCATTGGAAAAGAAGCCCCTTTGGCGTTTGCATTACTACTAGTATAACTCACATTTGTGCCCGTGTAGTGTGTAGGAATTTCTCCAGCAATTTCTTTTTTGATTTTTCAAAGAAACTGTGAATAAGGGTTTGTTCCTAGAATAAGGGTTTGTTCCTAGAATAAAGGAAACAAATTAGAAATTGACTTGTTCTCATTAAAATGTAATTATTTAGTGTAATTACCAATATAGCCCTGTAACCTCTATATATACGAGAAATAATAATGAGAAAAGGATGAAGCCAAGAATTCTTGACATGGTATCAACCTCGTAGATCAAACCTGTGATTTCCTGGCTCTGATTTTTTCTCTCTTGGTTCTGTGACAACACCCTGATCAATTCAGTTTGTTGTTTCTTCGTTTCTGCTTCTTGATCGTTCCCCGTGGAATTCGTTTAGCGTCGATTGCCATCGTGATTCTGGGTTTAGGGCTTCGGCTTACTTCGGTTATTTGCGATCCTCCTTTCACGAATATTGATTCTAGGTCGTGACCGGTTTGTTTTTCGTGGTTATAATTTTGTTTTAATTTGGTTTGTGGTTTGTGGTTATAATTTGGTTCCGCCGCTAATTCCAAATTGAAACATTGGAATTGTTACGGCTTCACGAGTGGTACTGTTCTTGGGATATATTGGTGGTACTGCACGAGCTTTGTTCCTTTTGGTTGCAGGTTGTTATTATAATAATAATAAGTATTATAATAATTATTATTATTATAGTAATACATCATCTAATTACAACATAATTTCAATGGCTTCCGAAAAAGAAAGAGATAACTTCTGTGTTCGTTTCACCGGCAAGAATTATTCGGCTTGGGAATTTCAATTCAAGATGTATGTTAGAGGAAAGGGATTATGGAGTCACTTAGATGGTGTTTCTAAGGCCCCGACGGATAAAACTGCTTCAGATGTATGGGAAACTCAAGATGCTCAAATCATCACTTGGATTCTCAATAGTATTGATCCTCAGATGATAAATAATTTGCGCTCCTTTTCAACTGCTCAAGAAATATGGAATTATCTGAAGCGCATTTACAACCAGGACAATTCGGCAAAACGTTTTCAATTGGAGCTAGACATAGCCAACTACAAACAAGGTGACCTACCTATTCAAGAATACTATTCTGGTTTTCTGAATCTCTGGACAGAACACTCTGCTATTATACATGCTAATGTTCCCAAAACCTCTCTCACTGCTGTTCAAGAGGTCTACGACACAAGTCGGCGAGATCAATTTCTCATGAAACTTCGTCCAGAATTCGAGATTGTTAGAGGCGCTTTGCTCAATAGGAATCCTGTTCCTTCTTTGGATACTTGTGTCGGTGAACTTCTAAGGGAGGAACAACGTCTACTTACGCAAGGAACCATGTCTCATGATGCTGTTAGTTCCGAACCTGTGGCAATTGCATATGCTGCTCAAAGTAGAGGAAAGGGTCGTGATATGCGACAAGTTCAATGTTTTTCTTGCAAACAATTTGGACATGTAGCTCGCAATTGCAGTAAGAAGTTTTGCAACTATTGCAAACAACAGGGTCATATCATCTCTGACTGTCCCACACGTCCTCCCCGACCAGTACAACGTCCAACTCAAGCATTCCATGCCACTACCAACTCTGAAGTTGGTCCTCTCAGTACGGGTACCGGTAGTGTTCTACAACCTGAAATGATTCACCAAATGGTACTTTCTGCTCTTTCAGCCTTGGGAATTCAGGGTAAGTCTTCTAATAATTCTCAATCATGGTTTCTTGATTCTGGTGCATCCAATCACATGACGGGTTCCTCTAAATACTTACAAAATGTACATTCCTATAATGGTAATCAGCAAATTCAAATTGCTGATGGTAATAAACTTTCTATCACTGATGTTGGTGACATAGACTCAAACTTTCGTGACGTGCTTGTATCACCCGGACTTGCTTCCAACTTATTGTCGGTTGGTCAATTGGTGGATAACAATTGTAATGTTAGTTTTTCTCGTGTTGGTTGTCTTGTGCAGGAGCAGGTGTCGGGAAAGGTGATCGCGAAGGGGCCTAAAGTGGGAAGATTGTTTCCACTCCAGTTTAGTTCTAGTCATCTATCCTTTGCATGTAATACTGTTTTGAACTCTTATGAGGATTGGCATAGAAAATTAGGCCATCCAAATTCTGTTGTTTTGTCTCATTTATTTAAAACTGGTTTGTTGGGAAATAAACATGCGTGTACTACTCCTATTTCATGTTCTGTTTGCAAATTGGCTAAAAGTAAAATCCTCCCTTTTCCGTCAGGCGCTCATCGTGCTTCTAATTGTTTTGAGATGATTCATAGTGATGTGTGGGGAATGTCTCCTGCAACATCTCATGCTCACTATAAATATTTTGTCACATTTATTGATGATTACAGCCGCTTTACTTGGATATATTTTCTTAGATCTAAGTCTGAAGTGTTTTCTATGTTTCAGAAGTTTTTGACATATGTTGAAAATCAATTTCAAGCAAGTGTTAAAATTTTTCGATCTGACTCGGGAGGTGAGTATATGTCTCATGCATTTCAGGAATACCTTCAACAAAAAGGGATCTTGTCTCAACGGTCTTGTCCCAATACCCCTCAACAAAACGGGATGGCAGAGCGAAAGAATCGTCATTTGCTTGATGTAACACGCACATTACTTCTTCAAGCTTCTGTGCCATCCCGATTTTGGGTTGAGGCTCTTTCCACAGCCGTATTCTTGATCAATCGTCTTCCTTCTACGGTTATTGATTTTGATTCTCCCTTCTTTCGCCTTTTTAAAATTCAGCCTAGTTATAATGATTTACATATTTTTGGATGTGTTTGTTTTGTGCACTTACCTCCATTTGAAAGACATAAGCTTGGAGCACAGTCTGTTCAATGTGCGTTTATGGGGTATAGTCACTCACATAAGGGATTTGTGTGTTATGATGTCACTAACCATCGTTTTCGCATTTCTAGGAATGTGACATTTTTTGATAATCAGTTTATGTTTCCATGCGTTTCTCCTGTCATGAATGATATTGTTACTCTTCCTAAGTTCTCTATTATGCCTCAATCTATAGAGCGTTATAAACCAGGTCATGTATATGTCAGAAAACACAAACAGCAGGTTCCCACACCCTTTCCCGACGCTGAACCGCCACCTGATCCTGTAACGGTTGAACCACGACGTTCTGTTCGAATATCTCGAGCACCAGACAGATATTCACCAGACAGGTATGATTCAGCACATACTTCTCTGACTGCCACCCTCTCTGGCATATCTATTCCTACTTGTTATTCACAGGCTGTTAAAGATGTACGTTGGATAAAAGCAATGAATGAGGAACTTCAAGCTCTTCAAGAGAATTTCACATGGGATATTGTCTCTTGTCCTCCAGATGTCAAACCCATTGGCTGCAAATGGGTGTATTCTGTGAAATTGAATTCGGATGGGTCCCTCAACCGTTTCAAGGCTCGCTTGGTTGCCTTAGGAAACAAGCAGGAATATGGAATTGATTATGATGAGACATTTGCACCGGTTGCTAAAATGACATCCGTTCGTACGGTACTCTCTATAGCTGCTTCTAACGGGTGGGCTCTTTATCAATTAGATGTGAAAAATGCTTTTCTTCATGGTGACCTCGCGGAAGACATTTATATGACTCCTCCTCAAGGTTTATTTTCATCATCTAAGGGTGTGTGCAAGCTTAAACGCTCCTTATACGGTTTGAAACAAGCACCTAGAGCATGGTATGAAAAATTCCGCTCCACTCTACTTGGGTTCTCCTTTACTCAGAGTCAGTATGATTCTTCTCTATTTATTCATAGAACGTCTACTGGAATTGTCCTACTTCTTCTGTATGTTGATGATATGATTATTACTGGTTCTGATCATGCTTCCATTCAAAGCCTTAAACAGCAGTTACAAGCAGCGTTTCATATGAAAGATCTTGGTAATTTGCATTATTTTCTTGGTCTTGAGGTTCATTCTACATCCAAGGGTATATTCCTCCATCAACACAAGTATGCCACAGATTTAATTTCCATGGCTGGTCTCCAATCGGCTAATCCAGTGGATACTCCGCTTGAGGTTAATGTTAAATATCATCGTGATGATGGTGATTTGTTGCCTGATCCCTTATTGTATCGTCAACTCGTGGGTAGCCTTAATTACTTGACTATTACTCGCCCTGACATATCGTTTGCTGTTCAACAAGTAAGTCAATTCATGCACTCTCCTCGCCACCTTCACTTGGCAGCAGTTCGTCGTATAATTCGTTACTTGAAGGGAAGCTCTCATCGTGGTTTATTCTTTCCTAGTGGAGTTGCTCCTAAATTGAGTGCTTATAGTGATGCAGATTGGGCAGGGTGTCCTGATACTCGACGATCTGTCACTGGTTGGTGCATGTTTCTTGGCTCTTCATTGATCTCATGGAAAAGTAAGAAACAAGCGAGAGTCTCTAAATCTTCTACTGAATCTGAGTATCGTGCCATGTCTGCTGCTTGTTCTGAAATAATTTGGCTTCGTGGTCTTTTGGCTGAACTTGGATTTCCTCAAATAGAGCCAACTTCGCTTTATGCTGACAATACAAGTGCCATCCAAATTGTTGCGAATCCTGTTTTTCATGAACGCACCAAACATATTGAAGTTGACTGTCACTCAATTCGTGATGCTTATGATGACCGAATCATATCACTTCCTCATGTCAGTACTCAGTTGCAGATTGCAGATATTCTTACCAAGGCTGTTCCGCGTCCACGTCATCAGTTTCTTGTTAGCAAATTGATGCTTATTGACAAGCAGCATCAATTTGAGGGGGGATGTGAATAAGGGTTTGTTCCTAGAATAAGGGTTTGTTCCTAGAATAAAGGAAACAAATTAGAAATTGACTTGTTCTCATTAAAATGTAATTATTTAGTGTAATTACCAATATAGCCCTGTAACCTCTATATATACGAGAAATAATAATGAGAAAAGGATGAAGCCAAGAATTCTTGACAGAAACCACCTCAGTTAAATCTTGCATTCTCATTAAGTCATTATGATAAACGCTTCCTTGTGTTGCATTGACCATAGGTAGAAAATCCATTGCCCGGTTATATTTTAAAATTAAAGCCACTAACCAATACTGTAATGGATATGACAAAGCTTTGGATGTTGTAATACATCCCTTGTTGCCCATTGAAGTTTCTGCTTTCATTAACTGAATCTATGTGGTGGTATAAACTGACTAGGCTATAATTTGCACATAAAATGATTCAGATTTATATCTTGGGTTTTCGTTTCTAATAAATAAAATTAGAAAGTATAATGAAAATAGGGCATTTGACACATTAGGAACTTAGAATAGTTTGATACTTTCTATTTGTCTCAATGTTCTTTGGAAACATTTATTTTAATACTCCATCCATTTTTTTATTCATCAATTTATGTGAACAATCAAGGATAAATACTTTTTTTTCCTAACTTAACCCTATGCATGAATAAGCGAGAGGAATATTAATCTAGAGTGCTTATAACATTTAGAGTATTTCAAAAGTGGACAATTTAGTCTAATATAGTTATTTTTACTTAAATTTGAAACTATTTAATGTCTTTATCAATTCCTTTGCAAATTGCAACTATCTAAAATGAAAGATAAAAACAAATTATGCTATAATCATTTAAGGGAATTCTTTTCTCTTTCATTTATGCATGTCATTCATTCTTAACTTTTGGTTTGTGTTGACTTCATGATAATATTGATTTTTCTTTTGATATATTTTTTTTATCTACTATAAAGGAAGTTTGGATTCAATAGTTTCATATTGTATTCAAGGTCATTCTGTAATTTTTTGTTTTTCATAATAAAATACTTCTATGTCAGTTTGACCTAGTAGAGAATAGCTCACTACTAGCATCAGATCACAAACGCAGTGAAACTAAATATTTCTATATAACTAAATACTCACCAAGGGTCGAAATGTGAGCCCTTATTCTTCTATTGTTGTTCTAGATGTGCTAATTAAATATGTCTAAGCAGACATGCTACGATGCATGCTTTTCTTGGCATGATATATAGTCTTAGAGAGTTGAGAGAAGAAATAAAGGGAAAGTTTGAGCCATGGAAACTATCTCTTGAAGCACGTGAGTTTTGCTTAAATAGAATTAAAACAAAGTACTATGGAATGCAAGTTAAGATTGAAATCCTAGCTTAGAAGTGAATATTGGAAAACATACATCACAAGTCCCTCAGCTTGAGTACCATTTGTTCATTATACAAAATGACGAGGAGATAAAAGGAGATGTAAAGCATGGATCGATAAATGAAGAAATGCCTTGAGGGTGATTTGTGATTGAAAAGTACTCCTCAAGTCTAAAAGAAATTTTTACTATTGAACTTGCAATGTTATATAGAGCTGAACATGGGCAGTAAAAAGTCAACAAGAGTGTAAGTTCGGTGTTGTAGAAATGCGAATATTGTAATGGATGAGGGGTTACACAAGAAAATGATAATTATGATTGGAATCATAGAGAAAGTTGGGACAGCTGCTAGTGTAGAAAAGGTGACAGTCTCTCATCTTAAGTTGTTCTGAAGGCTCGACTGAGTAATAGTCCAATTTAGAGAGAGGGAAACCTTGAAAAAATATACGCTAAACCTGTAAGAGAGGTTTATATTTAAATGGTCTATCACTGAACTTGATTCATGGCAGTATATTAGGGTCTTATGCTTGATCCATGCAGTTGATTCGATTTTGTCAGAAAGGTGTTTTAATGGTTGTTCTATTTTACCCTACAAAATTTCTAGATTCTTCAGTTTAGTTTTTCTCTTAAAAGTAACTCATCCTTGTTCGTTCTCCCTCCTTTTTTACGGTATGTTCACTCTTAATTCTACACGTGTGTTGACTTATTCATAATATCAATTTTCTTTTAATGGTTTTGTAGTCTACAATAGATGAAGTTATTGGTTTAACTATTTTGTTGCCTGATGTGATTACTATATAGTTTTTTTGCAGGATACAACACTTTTATTTTGCTCGGCTGAATTGCTAGATTCCTTTGTTTTGATGTATTTTTATCAGTTCACTTATCCACGTTCTATTGTCCGTTTTTTTTTGCAATAGTTCTATAAGATATAGTATTTATATTTTCACTGTCAGGGCTGATTTTTGAGTGGGTTTTGCATTCAATCTGTTTGTTAAGATGATTTGCTTTCCTTTTATTCAGTTTAATCATACTTCACATTGTTGTAGATACGATTATGATTTGACATTGAAGCTTCTACTTGTTCATGTTTGTTATGCTATTTTTACACTTTCTTCATATTGTGTTGTTGTATGCTTTATGGAAACTTGAATCATTTTTCACATTGTTTTGTATCTGGTTATTACTTGACATTGAAGCTTGTACCTGTTCATGTTTGTTATGCTAGTTTTACATTTTCTTCATATTGCTTTGTTGCATGCTCTATGACAATTTGAAATCTAACTCACCTTTCTTCTTTTTGCTTTATTTCAGCTGACAGAAGAACTATCAAAGGTTGATGGCAAGCTAAAATTAACAGAATCTCTTCTAGAAACCAAAGTATTACTTAGAGCCTTGATCCACTTTAGTAGTGATTTGATTTCGTAGGCTTAGTTATAGACCTACTAAATTGAATATTTTGGCAGAATCTTGAAATAAAGAAAATCAATGATGAAAAGAAAGCATCAATGGCAGCTCAGTTTGCTGCTGAAGCTACTCTTCGAAGGGTACATGCTGCTCAAAAGGACGACGACATGCCCCCAATAGAAGCAATTCTTGCTCCTTTGGAGGCTGAACTAAAGCTTGCCCGGCAAGAGGTATTACCCTGTTCTTGGAGTTCATGTTGTAATCCTTGAGAGAAAGAATTGCTAAAGGGACTGAATCTGTCTTTTTAATAAATGATTTTTGGTTTAATTTTCTTCCATGTATTCCATGCAGATTGCTAAATTACAAGATGATAACAAAGCCTTAGACCGTCTTACCAAATCCAAAGAAGCGGCACTACTTGAAGCTGAAAAGACTGTTCAGGTTGCCCTGCTTAAGGCCTCCATGGTGGATGATCTCCAAAACAAAAATCAAGAGCTGATGAAACAGATTGAGATTTGCCAGGTATCTCAATCCTGTATGATTTTTTTTTCCTTTCCCAGCATACGAGCACCTTAAATATGTAAGTTACTGTTAACTTTTTGTTTCATCACTTCTCTCAGGAAGAAAATAAAATACTGGACAAAATGCATAGACTAAAGGTGGCAGAGGTTGAAAAGCTCACCCAAACTGTAAGGGAGTTAGAAGAGGCCGTCCTTGCTGGCGGTGCAGCTGCAAATGCAGTTAGAGATTATCAGAGGAAAGTTCAAGAATTGAATGTAATGTTTAACGTCTTCAGTTATTGAATCTCACAGTTGTTTTATTTATTATATCACATCTAGTTAATATTATTTTAATTTTGAACATTGCCTTTTGACATTTCTTTAGGAGGAAATAAAAACTCTTGAACGAGAGTTAGCCCGCGCCAAGGTATCAGCAAACAGAGTAGCTGCAGTGGTTGCAAATGAATGGAAAGATTCTAATGATAAAGTAATGCCTGTCAAACAATGGCTTGAAGAACGTCGATTCTTGCAAGTAATGATTTTGTTTTGTTTTTCTCTGCTTTTTAACGTGTCTTGAGTGGTTGAGCTTTTGTTACTCTCCTTTCTTCCTCTGTTTTCTTATTTTACATAAGTTTTTCTGCATTCGTATAGGGGGAAATGCAGCAACTTCGTGACAAACTTGCTATAGTTGAGCGCAGAGCAAAGTCTGAAGCACAGTTGAAAGTACTAAACCTGTTCATATATATTATAATAGGATATTAGTTCTTAAATTATTCAAGGCATGCTTAAAATTTTCAGGAAAAATATCAATTACGGCTTAAAGTGCTAGAAGAGAGTTTGAGGGGGAATTCTAATGGCAGTAATCGCAGCACCCCAGAGGGAAGAAGTGTGAGCAATTCTCGTCGGCAATCTCTAGGTGGAGCTGATCATTTCTCAAAACCAACCTCAAATGGGTTTTTGCCTAAGAGGTTACCATCCTTTCAATTAAGGCCATCTTTATCGTCTAGCGCAGTATTGAAGAGTGCCAAAGGAACATCTAAATCTTTTGATGGGGGCACAAGGTCACTGGAGAGGAGTAAAATGCAGCTGAATGGAGCATCTCAAAGCCATTCTTTTAACGAATCTCTTGAAGAAACCAGAGAGAGAGAAGCAGATGTTAATTGGAAAGAAGATTCAGATGATAAGGCAAATGAATTCCCAACAGTGGATACAGAGGATAGTGTTCCAGGTGTTTTACATGAACTCCTGCAGAAAGAGGTCATGGCCTTGAGGAAAGCTGTTAATGAGAAAGATCAAAGCCTAAAAGATAAAGATGATGCTATTGAGGTTAGCATTCTGTTTATTAATATTTTTGGATATTAATCCTTGACGAAATTAATCTTAGCTAATTATTTCCAATGGTCATAATCTGTCAGATGCTAGCAAAGAAGGTAGATACATTAACCAAAGCCATGGAAGTTGAGGCAAAGAAGATGAGAAGGGAAGTAGCTAACATGGAAAAGGAGGTAGCTGCTATGCGTGTGGAGAAAGAACAGGAGAGCAGAGCAAAGCGGTTCAGCAATATAAAGGGCCCTGTAAACAGTGCTCAGAATCAGCTAATATCTGGAAGGTAAATAAGGCCTCCTTACCTTTATATGTAGTCACTGCCATATTTCTCATTTTGCTTGCTTTTTTCTGTAACTAATCTGTGTCAGGGAGTTTTAACCTTCATATACATTCTTTCTGTTTCTTGTTTTACCTACTATTCTCAACTGGGAATTTCTCATGGGATTTTTGTCCAACTGTCAATGGATACAAACTATTTCATTTTCCGGATATCAGGCCCCAGGATGTTAATTGGTTTAACATTACTACATCATAGACCACAGTATTTTTCTTCATCGCGGCCCTCTAATTTTGATGATTAATGTTGTACGGGAAAACCCTCGGATAATGCCCTAAGTTTGTGTATTGTGCTGTTCTGTCTTCATTAACATTAAAATTGCATGCAAATCCACATGGCCTTGGTTAGTTGACACTCCCCATAATCACATGCCGTATAACCGAGACAAAAATGGATCAATTTTATGATTGCTATGTGAGTCCTTTGGGTCAATTATCTTTCCTGATTTCTTTTTTAAAACGGTCTATATTTTGGCATTTGCATATATTTTTCCCAAGTCAGGTTGACACCAGATGTCAATCTTAGCATACTTAAACCTCTCAATAACTTTTAAATCAATCCGACTGTTGAAATAAAAGGTATTATCAAGTAGATAAGTGTATAGAATTTTATAGAATTTAAAGTAAGTAGAATAAGTTATTTAATATATATGTAAATAGCAACTACTAGAATATATAGCATACAGCAACATATGTTTAAATTGTTTGAAATTTTATATGCATAATCCTCATGATAACATTAGATAATTCAACGGTTTAAAGTATGCTAAGTTTGACACCCGGTGTCAACAGATCCTGACTAATTTTTCTTGGCATGTTTTTTCAATCTACCTAATCTGAATAATGATATTAGCATTTCTATATCGCCGTGTAATGTTTAGTTACTATTTTTCACTCATAGTGAACCTAATATTTCCTCCAACGTTTTGCCTGGTTGATTATTTTGTTTTATTGACTTTTTAAATTAAGAACCTATCTCAATAAAGACATTCTTAATGTATAGTGCCTTCTGCCTTCTTTCATTTCCGCTTACTATCTTTCTGATATCGTGGGATGACTAATGGAACCTTTCATTTGCACAGAAGTGTTACACGTGGAGGGTTAACACGCAGCACACAATAACATCAAGTTTATTACAGTGGCACTTGGTAGTATTGAGTAAACCTTCATAGGCATCATTCTTCTGCCCTACTGTGTTTTTATTCTTCTGCTTCTTGTGTCCAATTGATTATAAGATTGTAATTGGTATACCGACAGCCAGTTTCTGATGATGGCCATGGATTGAGGATAAGAAAATGAATTCAGGAACCCGTGTGCATCTGACCTAGACTGTTGCATCATCCTCTGCATAGAGAGACCGGTAAAGAATGAAGGCAATAGAAGACAATTAGCTTGGTTAACCTTTCAGCTTTTCTTGAGTGGTTGTGTGTTTGTATAGGTAGCTTTCTCTCTTCTTCACTCCTTTTTGCCGTTTATATTTGCAATTCGCAGATTGCGTGATTGTGTTGGTTCAAGTTTCATAATATCTTTGTAATATTCAGATCTAAGCATATTTGGTTGTGTTATAAGTTCTTAGTTTCAACCTGATTAGTATAAATTTATTTTTGAGTGAACCATAAGCCTACTTATGATTAACCTATAAATAAATCATCACCAAAGTTGAAGAAAATTTAGTTCCCTTCTCCTCTGCAATTCAGCAATGATTCAGATTTTTGGATGTGCCTTTGTTTCTATGTTGAGTTTTTCACTCTTAATTTCCAATAGAATTTAGCTGTGATTTTGTGAAACTAGAAATTAGAGCTTTAAGTCAGTAATCACACGTTGATTATGATTTATGGTATGTTTAGAACTACTTTTTTGTTGACTTTCTTGTGTTCAAAAGCATTGTCAACGTGAAAACAAAATGTGTACATAAGTTAGGGATGGTTCAGATGTAGCTTTCATCCAATGCGGAAATGCTTTATATTTTTGTGAGGTGATCAATGATACATCAAGAGTGGTATATTATATATATAGAATACAGATGACGATGGCAGAGAAGGGAACACCTGTCTAACATAGAAATCTGAGAAAATATACTTCCTATAAATACCTAATATAGAATATAAAATGTGTAGAAGATAAATACAAAATTGTGCTAAACTAGTGCTTTCTTCTCTGCCCTTTATATTCCATATATACCTCTCTTGTATGATCAACTTGTTGAAACATAAAGCATACTTTTACATGGTATTAGAGAATTGAACCATCTGTAACCTAACATTCTCATACAACAGACGACCTAAAATTTGATATAGCATTGGTCAAAAATTGAATGGGAAAACTATAACCAACGGCAAGATAAGTCACTATTTTCCTCCAAGAAAAAAGAAGGGAAGACTATATAATAGAAAATACCAAGTATCCTAAAAAGGAAGGGGGGCCAACCTCAAAAAATGGAAAGCCGAGAATAACCAACTGATGTCATAGATACTTAATGCCATGACAAATGAAGTTCGCAAAATTACATTGTTGTGACATTGGCAACAACTAGACACATAGAGAAGTCAAAAGGTATTGTACATAGAGAAGTCAAAATGTCAAAAGAAATACAGGGACTGATTGGAAAAGATATGATATACAAGTTCTTATTAGGACTAAATAAAGATCTTGACGAAGTTATAAAGGATCCTTGGAATCAAAATACTTCCTAAAATTCAAGAAACATATTCTCAGAAGGAGAAAAGAAAGCACAAGAAAACTCATGTTGGAACTTCCATTGAGGGTTCTGCAACGGCGACTTGAGGAAGTCAACCTTAGCCACCACAAAAGAAAACTTGACCCCAGCGTTATCATAGTGAGAGGCCATGCTACACTGAAGAAACATGCTGGATGATCAAAAGAAAAGAAGGATGAGGTAAATAATAAGGATAATCCTAACTTATATTCATTCTATCAAGAAGAAATGAAGGCCTTCAAAAACTCCTCCAATAAACTATGGTGATTGTGGGAAAAATGCGATACTGCTAATGTGGTCTAAAAAGCTAATTATCTATATGCTCTAAGAACTAAAAAAAAAAGGAAAACAAAGTCATGGACCATTGGCGTATGAGCTTCATGTCATATGACTGAAGATTCCACTTTTTTGGTAGTTATTTTCTTTCTTCATATAATTATACCATCCAAATAGCTCATGAGAAACATCCAAGGTCATGGGTAAATATTCAATGATTATTTCTCAACTATTATTCTTTGACTCAATTTTATGTGCCCTGTAACTTGTTGTCCATTAATAAATTTAGATGATTTTTTAATGCATTCTATATATTATTTAGACACCATGCAAAAATTTAAAAATATTTTTAATTTTTTGAGATATATTTTCGAACGTACACTAATACATACATTTCATTCGTGTGATTCAAACGAATGTTGCATCTTCTTCAATTTGAAAAATCATAAGAAAAATCGTAGAATCATTCAAATATGAAAGAAATTGTTCCAAATAATGAGAATTATATGATTTTGTGTCTCTATAGACTAGCCCGCCGAAACACCAAAATATATTCTTGAAAAAGATTTTTTCATCATTGTTTAATAAATATAGAAGCATTTTTAGTATGAATTCTGTCAATTGTCTAAACATATTATTAATAATTACTCAAACTAACCTTATAAACCATCTCAACCATTTTTATTAATTCATAGTGAATAGTGACGTATGGGTAGAGTTAACAACATTATAGATTCAATGGCTATTTAGGCTTTCATTCTCTCCCTTAAACTAAATGATGTACAACGATTAGTTTATGTCAGAAATTTCGCATACTCTCAACATCTTTCTAAGCTTCTTAAAAACTTCAAGCTTTATTGGTCATTACGTCTGCAACTTGATCTTCACTCCCACAATGAACTAGTTCAGTTGTGCTCTCTTTAGTAAGATTTTTTAAGAAATGAAATCTCACATCAATATGCTTGCTGCGACCATGCATAATAGGATTCTTAGACAGCTTGATGGTTGAACTATTGTCGCACATTACAGTTATACCATCTCCATGAGAACGTCCCAGCACCTCTAAAATTCTCAACTCAGGTCTTGTGGCAGTGAGGTACATTAAGCTTCCCACCAATTGCTTGTAGTATGTTTCATCAACAGTTTTTCCATCTCAATCTTTACTTACTTTAAATCCTAGAACAATTGGACTGCTCACTGCGTTGCTTTCAATCATTCCAAACCTATGAAAAACTACTAATGCATATTTCCTTTGATATATATATATATATATATATATATATATATATATATATATATATATATATATATATATATATATATATATATATATATATATATATATATATATATATATATATATATATATATATATATATATACCATCAGACTTTTGTAACACCTCTATTCCAAGAAAAAACCTCATCTTACCCAAATTCGACATATCAAACTCTCTTAACATAGAGCTTTTAAATTCAGACATCATAACTTCACAATTTCAATTAAAAATTAAATCGTCAACATAAACACTTACAATTATAACTTTTCCTTCTCTTTGTGAATAATGTCTGCGCACTATCACACCTCTGAAATCCTTCACCAATGATATGGGCTTCATCGTTGGACAAACCTTCGCCACTAACATAATCGTTCATTCATGCAGGAGGTCGCCTCACTCTCTCTTCACCATCATTATAATCATCCCCTATTTCTCCAACTCCCTCGTCACGAGTTTCACCAATCTCCCTGTCAATATTTTCTTCATTCTCATTTTCACTCGCCATTTCTTCCCACTCTAAATCTAGTACTGTTTGTTTTTCATTCCAATCCCATTTCTTTTTCTCCTCAAAGATAACATCTCTACTCACAACAACCTTTTTAGCAACTGGATCAAACAACTTATATCCTTTTGATTCCTCACTAACTCCTAACGAAACACATGTAATACTTCTATTGTCAAGTTTAGTCCTCCTTGATTTTGGAACATGGTCTGTTGCAGGGTATAAGCAGTGGTTAATTTCCTCTTAATTCCACTTTGTTTGCATTGGAAGAAATAGATAAAAGTTGTTGTAATTTTATTCCTCTGCCAAAGACTGATTTATATAATGAGAATAAAATAAAAATACTTAATTATCTCTTTAATGGAGAATAAAAGAAAATAAATGACAATAAACGTAAACAATTAAATATGAAAATAAAGTATTTTTCAACATCCCCCATCAAGTTGGTGCATAGATATCTATCATGCCCAACTTGTCTATCAAATGCTCAAAGATAGGTCTTGCCAAGCTTTTAGTCAGGATATCCGCAGTTTGCTGACTTGAAGTCACGAAAGGTAGACATATGATTCCAACATCTAACTTCTCCTTTATGAAGTGTCGATCAAACTCAATATGCTTGATTATGTCATGTTGAACTGGATTATGAGTTATGCTAATAGCAGCTTTACTATCAGAATACAATTTCAATGGAAGCTCAACTTTCATCTTAAGTTCTTCTAAGACTCTAAGGATCCATAACCCTTCACAAATACCTTGAGACATAGCTCTAAACTCGGCTTCTGTACTACTCCTTGCTACAACGCCTTGTTTCTTACTCCTCCATGTCACAAGATTACCCCAAACATAGATACAATATCCAAAGGTTGATCTTCTATCGGTGATTGAACCTGCCCAATCAACATCGGTGAAGATAGACACATTCCTTTCACTAGTATTCTTAAAAAATAATCATTTTCCAGGATTTCCCTTCAGATATCTTAGTATCCTATAGACTGCCTCAAGATGTTCTTCGAAAGGAGAATGCATAAACTGGCTCACTACATTGACTGAGAATGCAATATCAGGTCGGGTGTGTGACAAATAAATTCATTTTCCAACCAATCTCTAATATCTTCCGGTATCAATAGGAACATTACCTTGTCCCCAAAGTTTAACATTAGGATCCATATGCAGGACAACATCCATTCATTCATGTTTCTTTCAATAAGTCTAGAATGTATTTCTGCTGTGAAACCACAATACTATTCTTTGACCGAGCAACCTCCATGCCTAGAAAATATCTCATGAATCCCAAGTCCTTGATTTCAAAGTCTACTGCCAATTTCTCTTTTACCCTTGCCATTTCCGTT